CAATGAAATAATTTTATCTGAATATGTATGCACATATATTTCAGATTTTTATTTAAAAAGTTTTTATTTGTCCAGTTAAATGTTCTTTCCTAGAGTGAGTGGAAACATTTCCTCTATAATGTAATATCAGAGACAAACATAATTATTTTTGACATGTCTCTTTTTCTAAAGCGAAAAAAAGGAAATGCAAATTTGTAATTTTCCAGAAGCTGTCTGGGAAATTGCAAAGATATCTTTCATATAATACGTATCCTAAAATGCTTATTTTGTGTGTTTCTAAATCTAGACTTTTATTCTGAAGAAGCAAAATCAAAAGCACTTTTACAGATTTGTTCAATTGGCTGAATTAAAATTATAAGTGACAGAAACTACTTGTTTATCCTTTTAACCAAATTGACAGTAAAACATTTTTAAATAAATATAAAAGATTAAAAGATGCTTCCTTGATTAAATCTCTGTTATATATGGTGTTTCTCATTTAGACTATATGTGTTCTTGCTTCTCTATACTTTTAATTTAATTTCTCTGTTTTTAAAATTTATTAATTTTATTATAAAACAATTATCTGTAGTACAATTGTGCATAGCAATATATTAACATCTGTTTTATATTTATTACCATTTACATTCATTAAATTATTATTAATGCTTAAAGTGTGCAAGTCAGTATGTTCATCCTGGGACAACAAAAACAAAGAGAAAACATTTTTAGCCCCACAAATGCTGCCTGAAAGTAGAGACCCATGTTAGTAAACTATTATTTTAGGAGAACCTGTACAATTTTTGGTTTTGTTTACTATGATGCAGTGCTCTGAAAATGTAACACATGTGATTTATTTCCAATCATCACCTGAATTGCTTTTGTTTTCTCCATATGGCTCAAAGTATTTTGCTCTACTATGCAAAAATAATTAAATTTTGATGATAGTTTATCACCTCTCTAAATAAAAAAGTGTTCTGAATGAATGCACCTTAAAAAACAAAATATATGTCAATATAAACAGCAGTTAAGCAGAAAGAAATTGTGATCCAAGTCTAATTTAATATTCTGGTTGTTTGAAAGTTATAATTATGTGACAGTTGTTACCAATTTTCACTCAAGAGACTTAAAGTGAGGTAGAAAAGGGCTACAAAATTCCCTACATTTCATTATTTCAATTAAGAGGTGATAAATATAAAGATAAAATGTGATAATAATTCATAATGTAATGTAATTGTGATTAAATCTAATTACATAACATGCACTGACAGGTCACAAGCGCCCTGTTAGCATTTATCATCATCATTATTATTCCTAATGTTATTATTGTTTTTGTTATTACGCAGGCAATAATACCAAAGACTGAGAGTTTTTGTTGTTTGTTTTCTATTGTTTTGACCCGGACATCCCATTATGCTTATAATAAGCAACATTCTAGAATGCACAACCATTCGCTTTAAGATAAAATAATGAAATGTTTTAGTTTGCTTTTTAATTTTTCTTTTAAGCCATGAAGCCTGTATAGAACTGGAAAGTTTAAGAAATGAATTAATTTTGTGGTGCTATTTTTACAATATATAGCGTTAAAGACAGACATCGAATTAATTCAGTAGATAAACAATTTACATTTTACTTGATAGAGGTTTTTTTCCAGTTTTAATAGAGTGACACACTGAAGTTGTTTCCCATCAATAAACATGAATTATGTAAGTTACACAGTGCGTTACTGCTAAATCAGACAGACTCTGAGGAAACTGACATTATTGTTATTTGTAAAATAATTTTAACACTGCTCTATCCCTGTGAGCAAACCCTTCTTTTGATGACTGGGAAATTCTTATGAAAGATTCACTTAAACTTTGTTTCCTAGATTCATATGTGAAATTGTGCATCATAATAATATGGTATTCAAAATACCATAGCTGTGTATGGAAAATTCAATATATAAAGCATCAATAGTAGACAAATAGACTTAAATAGTAAATTACTTTTATTAATATTTGTATGTATGATTTAAGGAAGAGAAATAGTAAGACAAGGGGCAGAAGAAAATAGTAAAAAGAGGAATAGTTTACCTTACATTCAAATTTCTCTTATAATCAGTAATACTTATATCACTAATAACAGTCAAATTAAAGTGTGTGCTAAGAAGTCATATATAGGCATATCTCAATATAAATTATGCTCATGACTCTAGGGTCATAAAATATGCTGAGATTTATGTATAATTTGGTTGCTCAAATTTAGTACGGAAAATGCACTTCCAGTACTGTGGTTAAATTGGCAATAAACACACACCTAATTTAGTATTCCATGAATATTAGAATTCCCAGGACACATGGGCTGAATCTAGTTAATTGCCGTAGCTGATTCTGCATATGAGTGAACATACAGTAAAGCTGAATCTATGAAATTATTAATTAAATTATCCTCTAAATGTGCCAAAGGATATATTAGCTTTTATTCCCTTGGTAGTTTCCCTCATCATAAATCAAATGAGAAAATTTAATGACTGAACAGAACATCAAGGTATTTTAGACAGAGGGAAAAAACATGTACAGTTAATTATTAGCTAATTTAAGGGGCTGGCTTCTTCACAAAATAGGCAATAAGAGTCCATGAAAGAAAATGTACACTGTATTACTATATAGAATTAACACTGCATTCAGGTCCTAAGTTCTGGGATTTTAGGAAAGTTAGCCAAGTTAACTCCTATTAAATGTAGTGCTGATGTGTGGAATACATACGTGTCCTGGGTTTTCATTCATTCATTTATCATTTACTGAGTTCCTACTGGGTGTCAAATAGAAATTCAGGTGCCATACAGAACTATAAGAAAGGCAGCATTGCCCTTGCTCTCATGGGATTTATGCTTTAATTAGGGAGATGTAGCACACACAACCACATTAAGATGAAGTACATCGGAAAGTCATTAGTTAGATGAGACAGCTAGGCAAAGGGCCGAAATAGGGAAGGTTAGTGATGATTACAGTTTAAGGAAACAAGTTAACCCAAATGGAGACAAGGCCAGAGGAAAGGCATAGGCCGGCTCATTAGAACTTTATAAATCATCATACAAGATTGTGATTGAAGAAATGTGAAAAGAACCTTTTAGGAAATTTAAGCAGGATAGCACTATGATCTTAAAACAGAAACTGGTAGACCAGTAGGCCAGGAAGCACAGGGCTTCTAAAGTTGACCAGGTAATGACGATGGCCTTGAGCATGGCAATGGAGAGAAGCCAGTGGTGTTTTTATACACTCTGAATTATTGGTGAGGAGTGAATGTCAAAGCTTTTAAAATAGAATATTTTATTACACATTAAATCATTGTTGCTACTATTTGTGGTTCTTCAAAACCTAATATTAAAGAAGAAAATATTTAAAATTTTATATCACAGAGTATGATGACTGGAAGAAAGGGCATTATTTCACCGCAGCATGTAAATTATTTGGGTAGTGTGCAAGACGGATTTTGTTCATCTCAGTACTGTTCTACAAGGTCAATGCATATTGTTATCCATGTGATTTTAAAAGACTTACGTTTATTTGTCATTGTTTGTAAATCTTGCCGTTATCACACTTTTCAATATGATTCACAAAGTGGAGAATATACAGTGAGTTTGTATAGTGAGTTCCCTGACTCTGCTCTTCATAAAAATGGGAATTCAGGTCAAACATTTTTATATTTCAGTTGCCAGAGCCTGTGTTGTATGTTGTCATCAGCTTCAGCCTTCTCAGGAGCAGGCTGCATTCAGAAAGAAGTAAGGCTTGACTCAGGTCACAGGTACCAACCACAAATAAACCATGTTCTGAAAAAAAGGCCTTCCGACCGGAGAGGAAATGACAAGAGAAAGTGAAAAGCTTGTATTAAGCAAGCAATCAAGTCAGGAAGCTGTGGACAGTGACAGGAAGGTAGTGATGAGTTCTGGCTGCATGTTCAGCTCGAAGTCTCAGCAAGAAAGCAAAAATACTAATAAAACAAAAAGCGCATTTATCAAAACAGGAGTAACTTGTCACCAAGTCTGAAGGCAGTCTTAAAGGTTTCTTTGATGTCCCCTGGTGCACCTGGATATGACCCTCCTGATCTCAACTTTGTGAAACTGACAAGTTCAGAATCTGGTACACATTTTATTTCTTTTTATGCTGGAAACTTTACATAAGAGGTTCAGTCTAGGTCATAGATATAAGGGCTGTTGAAATGCCCCAGCTTGTCTTCTGCCTACCCAGCTGCCACTTAATAAAACCGAAATAATTTCTCTTTAGAGATCTTTCGATTGTGATAACAGCGAAGTGAATGTAGTTTCTTGATTTTTAAAGTCTGTGTTCATTTTACATAGTTTTACATATTCAAGTTCTTACAGTCTATGAAGTAATGTATACATTTTTATTTATCATATAATCATTATGTAGATGATATGGGGGCCTAAAGATCATCTGCTTCCCAATATTTTCACCACCAAGCATCTCTTATATTATTTTCTCTTGTGTATTTTCCACTTTTAAAGATATTAACTTATTAAAGTGATACTTATTAAAGAAGGGTTATTATTCATTTTAAGCACATGTTTACCTTTGTTCACAGGCAAATGTTCTAAATACAAAGGTCACTTTAATGCAATGAGAACTTGCTGAATTCACACAGTTAAATATAAATCTTCCATTTTTCCCTGTCCAAAAGTTTGGTTAGTTAGGTAAAGTTCTTATTTTTGTGATTGACTTAAAAATAATTCTAACTCTAGCATTTCAAATATACAAAATTACAGAAAATAACCCAATTATCATTGCTGGGCTGCTTCCTCACGCCCCCCCACTGGGGATCGAGCCCACAACCCGGGCATGTGCCCTGACCGGGAATTGAACCTCAATCTCCTGGATCCTAGGTCGACGCTCAACCGCTGAGCCACGCTGGCCGGGCATGCTGTGGCTTCTTTTTGTAGTCAAGTAATACTGTTGTTTATACTAATTGAATGATTATCTTAAAGAAAAAGTCTATAAATGTTATCTTATATCACTTTACAGATGCTCCAAAGTTCATATCAAACCAAACAATTTATTACTCTTGGGAAGGAAATCCGATCAATATAAGCTGTGATGTGAAATCTAATCCCCCAGCATCAGTCCATTGGAGAAGAGAGAAGTTAGTCTTGCCAGCTAAAAACACCACTCATTTAAAGACATATAGTACAGGGAGAAAGGTGATATTAGAGGTAAGTCTTCATGTACATATCAGTAAATTGTAAACTATTTTAGCCTTTGTTATTTTAGAATATGTTTAAAGATCTTAATATATAAATATAATAATATGTTTATATTATAGAATATATAGAAAACCTATTGTACATATTTCATGTTTATTTCCCGAAAAGGAAGTTTCATGCATTTGGATTATGGCCCATTAATGATTAACATCTCACTATTTACATAGAAATATGAAAGTACAGCAAAAGCTATTATATCTCATGAATTTATTTTTGGAAAATTAAAACAATTATGTCAGGAAACAACAGGGATATGATTTGTCAGCTCTTGAGGCCAAATTTTCACTTTCAGTGTTGATATTAGCCATTGGTTTGCGGTGATGACGCTTTCTTCCCTTAGATTAGCATATATAAAATCTATATTGCTCACTGTATTTTTATAAGTTCCTACTAAACCAGACTTACTTGTTCAATACCTCATGTCATTTCATTTTTAAAATTAAGATGCTAGGTAGTTGTTTTGTACTGCCAAGTGTCTGGTATTTAAATTCTATTTGAATGCAATACCTCTTATTTATTAATTGCAGATTATGTGTGTATAGATCAATTTCCAAAGTTCATATGTCTGTGACAGTGATGATCAGCCCTTCCAACTGATGATGCTTTCAGAACAATTGGGAATGCTCTTCAATACAACAGTCTTGTTTAGAACTGATGCTACATTTTCCCACTAGTTATTTACATGGCCCCGTTCCCCTTTCTTTCCCGATTTGGGCCTGAGGCACAGTTCCTTTGGCAACCTGGTAGTCCTCGGTTCCTGGGAAGTCACCATATTGATGATTAACTTGGTGGAGACACTAGATCGGCATAAAGCACTAATTTTAGAAAATGTATTTTTTAAAATAACAGCTGATAATCCATACTGCATGAAATTAAAGATATTCTCATTGGTGCCATATACGCTCTTCTATCTGGCAATCAGACTTAGTAAAACATTTGGTTGATGAAGGAGTCTAGCCATCACTTTCCCAAAGGTTTGGATAATTGACTGATGATTAAGCCACTTTGTCTAAGTCAATTTAAATTGGTTTCTTTGTAACTGTATTAGAACTACCTATTGGCGATTGACACAGAGGTCAAGTTCACAAAGACATTTGGTCAGATTTAACCTAAATGTTAGGAATTTAACCATAGTTAAAAACCAATGCTGTACTTAACTGCATTGGGGTAATGTATTATGTGCTCTGGCTGCCAAAACAAAAGACCACAGACTGGGTGGCCTTTTTTTTTCCAGAAACTTTTATTTTCAGCCCCACACATTTCTGGAGGATAAAAGTCCAAGATCAAGGTGACAGAATCAGTGGTTTATGGTGGAACCTCTCACCTTGCTTGGCCTACTGTGCCCTCTGGCTGTGTACTCACCTGGCCTTTCACATTCAGTTCATTCTTCCCTGTGGAATTTACAAGTAACTTTCTCATATGCCTGTAGAATAGGGCAACTTTTTTAGTCAAATTCCTTTTTCACTAGTAAAATTATTTTAGAGTTAAATTAGCCTGGTTTATTAAAAGCTAAATGTAAGAAAAATGAATATTTAATCGCTTAGGAGTCCTTACTTAAGAGCTGTTAAAACTTCTAATCCTTAAACCTCTGCTCTGTTCCTAGATGGACAGCTGACTAGCGAATGAATGACAAAGCGTTTTTGTACTCTTTCGAAATTACCATCTTCAATGGACCTCAAAATTTCACTTTTAGTTAATAGCTTCCCATTACCACAAAATCATTTTCCCCTTTTGGGATAGAGTTGAAATTAACATCAACTCTAGCTGTAAGCATATTCTCTCAATAATAGTTACTGGGATTGAAGATTTTATCTATTACTATCATCAAACCTCTTTTCTGAATTAGTCCTTCAGAATTGCAGTAGGTTCGAATTACGGGGTTGGTCCCAATGTTCAGCAATAGAGTCCCAGGAGGTTAATTTAATTATGGATTCAGTCCTGTAAGGACTGAGGTCGGCTACATTCTTCCTCAAATGAAAGTGAATGATAGGAACTGAACAGAGATGGAGGCAAGATAGTGAGATGGGAACATAATGTGCCCCCCACAGGGACTGCTACGCAAGAGCAGGGTTTCCCTGCAAAACTCCTGCTGGGAGAGTTTTTTCTAAGAATGAACCTCCTTCCTGCATTAAAATTTTATGTTAAATAATATCAAAAGAGGGAGAGATCTGACATATTTTGAGCCTGTCTTGGACTTTAAATCTGCCTGATCTTAGGCTAAAACAGCGTAAACCAAGAGTTCATACTTCTGGTACAGATTTCTTGTTTTCAAGTTCACATTCTGTAGTGATTGCAGAATATATGTTTTTCAAAGTCCACTACTTTCTGAGCTTTATGCATATAAATATCTAATGATTTTTCTATTCAATAGATAAAACAAAAGGATGGCATCAATCCAAATATATTCATAAACTGTATTCACCTGGTTCTGTGGATAGTATAATTCCATGGGTTACATCTTTATAGGATTTATATTACTTAGTATATTGACTTGATATGAGAAGAAAAAGTTATGGCGCAGAGTTTTGAACAATTAAATATGTGTGGAGATGGTAGGCATACTAGAGTCTGTTTTCAAACTTCTGTGATACTGTTTTAAAATTGTAAAAAGTTTATATTATTATTACTATTATTATTATTATTTTAGATCGCACCTACATCTGATCATGACTTTGGACGCTATAATTGCACAGCCACTAACCGTATAGGGACAAGATTTCAAGAATATATTCTCGCTCTGGCTGGTAAGTGTAGCACAATGATTTCTGAAATCTCACACAGTGTTTCTGTAAGCAAATAACTTTCACATTGCAATAAGTCATCATTCCTATTATTGTTCTAAAAAATGAACCACTGCTTAAAAATTTGGAACTGTTGTTTCTGACGTTCAGTGAGGGCATAGAATGCGTTTACTAATAAAAATTCATTTTAAACCCTGATTTTAATTCCCTCAACTCTATAAGTGGGATATCTATGAAAGACGTAGGAAACATAGCTTAAGAAATCATATTCTATTTCAGGTATTGTAAGAATTCAGTCAAAAATTCAAAATAAAAGATGCCTTGAAGAAAGTTAACTGAAATGAATGTATTTTAAAATTCTAAACTCAAAAGTACAAGTAATAAACTTATTTTTAAGGAAAATAGAAAATTTATGGTTATGTAACTTTTTAAAAAAATGTCTTATTCTTATTCTTATTCTTTATATATGAAAGCATTCTGGTTCTTCTCCTAAAACTGAAAGATTTAATAACCTAGAAATCCAGCGGTGGTTTTAGTTATTTATAATGTACATATAACATAAATATACAAACACATACATATATATTTATAGAATTTGCTATTATGTTTTTACAAGACTGATTAGAAATTTGGAAATGTACATGTTTTATACTTGTGTAGCTCAGATGATGCAAAAATGTGATTTATTGTCTTCTAAGATTAGGTAGATAAATATTAGAAAATTACTGAAATGATATGTTTTAATATAATAAATAGCTTTCATGAAAATATTTTAAAATGTTTCCTAAGTAGAGTTCTTATACATAACTACAATTTTATATTAAGTTATGAAATATATTTTTATTGCTATGAACATACATTCACAAAAGTAATATCATTAATAGTAAAGGCCAAAAGAGATATTAAAGCTCATAGTACTCAAAATGTTATGTAACTGGAAAACCTGTTATTGTCCAATTTAAGTTTTACTACAATGGGAAGACGAGAGAGAAGGGATTGTGTGAATGGTGTTAGGAAGAAAGCCAGGAGGGAAAAAATTAGGATGTGAGTGAGTTGATAGAAGAAAGGAGGGAGGAAGCGAGGAAGGAAGGAAATAAACTAATATTTATTGTCTACCTTGAAGTCATTAGAAATTTAATCTCAGTGGAAACTATGGGAAGAAGGCATTTAGGCATATGAATAACCCTTATACATGCAAATTAAATTCTAGGAAAATGAAATAAGTTAAGTTGCATCAAAATTCATTGTTTTTGATGTAATTTTATGGGAAATAAGATATTTTACATATGTATTTGATAACCATTTTTTATATTAATGTTTTATCAAAATGTGAAATACAATTAAATACAGAGACAACAAAGACAGAGAGAGACAAAGAGATTTTATAAAAATACTTTATCATGATTTTTTGTTGTTCTTAATGCACCTCATAGGTGATAATCTTATTTTCTAGGTAGGAAATATAGTTTCTTTTTTGATTTACATATATATCTTGGAACAAGTTAAAAATGCAGAACACATAAATGTAAACCAAACTGCAACCATATAATTAACAATTACGATTCCTTCCTTACAGTTTCTCCTTCCAACAGATCAGGATTTGACAAGACATTCTGCATATTTATTTATATGTGTATTTTTAAGAACTTTTCCTTAAAAGATTTTTATTCCAACTTCTAAACTTCATCTAATGATTTCGATCATAATTTTCTTAACTTTCTTAATTTACTTCATTATCGTTATATTGAACTTTTAACTGTAAACTTTTCATACTAAATCTTAATATGATGATCTTACCTTTGCTTCTTTAATTGACACCTTTTCAGATAAAGTCACCTTTTCCTGGGCAACACATCCAGCCCTGGGGAGAGGGCTTCTGTCTGGAGGGGGTTTCAGTCCCTCCCGCCCCCCAGCCATTCCAAGGTCTACCTGATAAGACTGTTGCGAGGACTAAGTGGGAAAATGCATTCAAAGCACCAGCAAGTGGTGTTTACTCAACAAATGTCAGTTAGCCACTCTGATGGCCAAATTATAGTTCATATTGGTCACTTTTCTTTGAGGCAGAAGCCAGTCTCTTTAAATATAACACAGAGATCTAGACATCGTAGACCAATGCATAATAAAACTGCAAAATGCTATAATGACCTCACTTATTCTGGACACTATATATCTGTTAAATAATACAAAATTTCATTTCATTTTGTCACTTTTATTTTCCTCCTAGTGTTTTTGTCCTACATTTTTTTTCCACAAAAACTGCTATTGAGGTCTCTTGTGCTATGCTTCACAAATTGATTTTTTTCAAAAATCTCAGTTCAAGACTTTATACTTAGCCCATTTAATCTCATCTTGTCAGTTTGGGCTGATCTTTTTAACCTACTAAGACCTTGTCAAATCCAATGTTTTAGCTCTCTTTCCAAGATTGATTTAATTCACAAATATCATGAAGCAGTCATCTGTATTTTCACCTAAGTCATGGATAAGCCTATAGAAGTAATTTTTGAGAATGCAGACCTGCATGGAGGTTAAGCTGGGTCAATTGAACAGAATTCTGTAGATATGGAATTATAGTCCATCTACTTGTCCTTGTACCCAGATCGCATATTATACAGACACTTGTTCCATAAAATTTGAAAGCAGGTTAAACTTAGTTCATTTGGAAACACTTTCTTCAACTGAATATAAAACCAGGTTTCTTTTACATGATCAGTTTTATTATATAACTTGGGAAAGTCTATATTGTGTTCTTTCTTTCAGAAACTGTAAAGCAAATTTTTGTGTGTCTTCAGAAACTATGGCATCCCCTTACTTTCCTAATTCCTGTGCTCCTCTGAAAAAAGGAAATTAGGATAGCTAGATACTATTTTTAGGGAAACCATGCTTTCATCAATTCCTAATGATCTGTTCATCCACTCACTCTACCTATATTCAGTGAGTTTCTAGGAGGTGCCAGGCACTGATCCAGGTCTTGGAGATCTGAAGATGAATGATATATGGAACCTGCTCTTTGCAGATAAGAGAAGGGTTTCAACAGAAGTGTGAGTCGTAATGCCTGGGGACACAAAATGGAATTCTGATTGCATTTCTCGGTAACAGCTTCCAATAGGCATCAACTATTTTATTCTTTCAATTTTATTTTGTCTTGGTTTCAGGTACAAACAGCTTAGTGGCTAGACAATCATATACTTTACGTAGTGTTCCCCTCAAGACAGGTTTGGACTTTTGAACTGAGTCCGAAAGAATGAGTAGAAACAGGTCTAGTAGGGAGGGAGAGGGGAGATGGGAGGAATTGAGGTGCCAGCACAAATGCGCCATGCCCTAGAAGAAGTAGGTGCTGAAGAAGCCAGGCATTTAATGGGGAACTGGGGGCGATAGTGTGTAGGTTAGTGGTGGTGATTTAGGAGGTTTAGATGAATTATTGAATGCATAATCATTGTGTTTTATTTGACTTGCTTATGAGTCATAGTTGGAAGGCCCAGTTAATAATGGGATATTGAGTCATAGTTGGAAGGCCCAGTTAATAATGGGAAGTTCATGACTTCTGAGAAGAGTCAAGACTTGGGTATGTAGGAGAAATAATTTCCGTTGATACTTCAAGAGTAAGTGACTACTTTAATGGACAACAGAAGTAAAAATGATATAATCAAGACAGATTTCTGGAGTAATTTAGTTTAATTGACAGACATAAAAGTATAAGAACAAATAAAATTAAAAACAATTATTCAGAGAGTTAGTATAACCGCATGTGAGCAGAACATTTTAAACATATGTGATCAAATGCTGAGAATAGATCAGTAGAATAATGATTCAGATTTGCGAATTGGAGACAGGGGAAGTGGAATAAGAATGAATTTACAGGGTTTCGGATCTTGCAGATTGGCTATAATATTAGATTAACATCACAATTGACACAGGAAAAATATGTATAAAGTCTTATTGGAAATAAGGTGGCCACTCAGAGCAGAAGTAGAAGGACCCCATCTCAGCACAGTTCCTGAGGCACATGCAGTTAATAATTACACTTTGTATAGTAGGGTCTTGCTAAATCTAGGAAGTTGAATCCTTTATGTGACAATTCCATTAATAATTAATACTTTTATCAGATGTGATTTAAAAACTAAACAGAAATAATTTAATGTAGAGAGTTGAGTGGTTATAAAAGCATAGCACAGTCAGAGAAAGGGGAAGACAAGGGACAGACACCAATCTTCTGGCTGCAAGGTCACAAAATACCAGTGTTTATTGTGCTGAATGGAAATTTACTGCATTATTTTCAATCAAGATTTTTTTCTTTTAGTTTTTGTAAAGTTAATTCTAGAGCTAAAAATAACATATTTTATTTATGTATTTATATAATGTGTATTATGTGCTGTTGAGCCGGCTTTGACTCCTGGCGAGCCTGCCAATGAGCGATGCCCACAGTATCCTGTCCTCCCCAGCCCTGCTCAGCTCCTGTAGCTCACGCCTATGGCTTGTTTTAGGGAGTCAATCCATTTTATCTTTGGTCTTCCTGCTGCCTTTTACTTTTTCCTGAATTATTTTCTTTTCCCAAGAACCCTGCCTTCTCATACTGTGCCCAAAGAAGGACAGACAACTTCAAGGTTGTCATATTTTGCCACCAGTGAGGCTTCAGGCTTAGTTTGCTCTCGGATCCACTTGCTTGTCTTTTGGGCGGTCCAGGGTACCTGTAGAGCCATCCTTAGCACCATATTTCAGATGAGTCAATCTTTTCCCTCTCCTTCACAGCCCAGTTATTGCATCCGTATATAGTAATTGGGAGTACGAGAGTGTGAATGATCCTAACCTTGGTCCCTAATCACACTTCTTTGCTCTGGTGATCTGTCCTAATTCTTCCTTTCTGCCCTTCTAAGTCTTCTCTTTATTTCTTAATTACATGTAAATTAGCAAACTTTATGATTATTTTGAATGTGATATTGAAAAGAAAGAGAGGTAGCCAGAAAGAGATACCTTTAATATTTAATGTGTCTCTAATTCTTTGTGTTTCTTGAGTAGAGGTTTTATTAATTTCTTTATTGAGACTTTTTTATCTCTTATTGTCTCCTTTTGCTTGCTTGACCTTTCAGATAACATTTTATAAAGTTTTATATGCTAGAAAAGAAAGCAAGGTGCCACTCAGGATACCTTATTGAGCTTGAAATGTTGTGAGCAATGGACTGATAACAAAAACACACACAAGAATGACTTTATAGTTATTTTTTAAATACAGGAATTAAAACTTAAATATCTCAACTAAAGGTTTATTTTAATTAATACCTAAATTAAAGCAGATAGTTCATAGGCTTATTTAGTTCATAATGACATTTTTCTCTAAACTTAACAATTGCCCCGGAATCATTAATATAATTTTAATGATAAAGAAAGCAAAACTCACATTTTCACAAGAAGTAATTATTTATACTATTAGTTCAAAAATTGTATTTATGGTTATATTTTCTTTATACCTGCATTCCCTCTCCATTCTCTCTCACAGCTTGTTTTCTTTGAATGCAAATAAAATGCTTATATTGTAGAGAAAAGGAAGTAGTAAAATTATTTCCTTAATAAATGAAATTTGATATTGAAAGTTTTACAGTTTGCTTGCTCTGATAGTAAATATTGATTAGCACATACTTTCTTGCAATTTAAACAGATCAGTCAGCAGTTTATGCAAGCTTTGTAATTCAAATTAAGTATATAGACATCAACATTCCCTTATTTCTAATACTCTGAATATAACTCTTTCTTTTTTTCAGAAAATTGTATCACATTTCTTGTATTCACATTTTATTCATTTATTAATTCACTTTTTATTCATTTATTAATTCACTTGAAACTTTTTTATAAATATATATTTTTTTCTTGAACAGATTATTGAATTCATTGGGGTGACACTGCTCAACCAAATTTTACAGGTTTCAGATGCACAGGTCCACAGTGCATCGTCTGTACAATGGCCATCTACATTACTTAGGCTATATTTTCTTTGTGATTGCTCCTTTTCAGATGTGCCATCCAGTCCCTACGGGGTGAAGATTATAGAGCTGTCACAGACCACAGCCAAGATTGCTTTCAACAAGCCGGATTCCCATGGAGGTGTGCCTATCCATCACTACCAAGTGGATGTCAAGGAAGTGGCATCAGAAACCTGGAAAATAGTACGCTCCCATGGAGTTCAAAGTGAGTCAGTGATTTCAAAGTGTGTAGATTAATTCAAGCTCATCTTAAATATACCTGTGTCAATAGCTTTTTACTTTCCTTCAACGTGTACTTTTTTTCTTTTAGTATGGTAGGGTTGAGAAGAATTTCCACCTCCCATTTTCCATTCTCTTTTTGGGAATAACTTTAAAAAAGAGTGGAAAAGTTTGCATCTTTAGTAAAGATGGATGACTGTAGAAAAATCACTAAAGTTCAATTTGAGGTGGTAGGGGAGTTAGCATTTAAAATTTTGGGGGTGGAAAAACAATTGCTGACCTGTGAGATATGATGACTGAATATTCTGAAATTAGTTCTGTTCTCATTTATTAATAATATTTCTTCTGTTAGTAGGTGTGAAAGTCATAGTATCAAACATCTTATGTATGTAGTCATAAAGTCATCTATAAAAATGCATCTTCTTACTAAAATTTATTTCAAAATTTCTAGCCAGTTTGGCTCAGTGGTTAGAGCGTCGGCCTGTGGACTGAAGGGTCCCGGGTTTGGTTCTGGCCAAGGGCACGCACCTGGTTGCAGGCTCATCCCCTGCCCTGGTCGGGGTACATGCAGGAGGCAACCAATCGATGTGTCTCTCTCATCTCAATGCGCCTGTCTCTCTCTTTCCCCTCTACTCTCTCTGAAAAACTATGGAGAAAATATCCTCGGTAAGGATGAAAAGAAAACTGCATTTTGGAAACTCAAATTTGACTACAAATCATGGCATTTTTGAGTAATAAAATTAGTTAACTCAAAAACTCAAAGAACTTAAAACAATTTATAACTATTTTTTACTTATGTAGAATTTTGTCACTTGAAAATGTGATTTTTTCTGCTACTATAAGAAGAAACTAAAGTAGAAAATAATAATAAATTACGAGATTTGGACTTTGTTGTTTGGGTCATAGAACTACATTGAGTGGCCCAAAAGGAGAGCATAAAATAGTAAGAAAATTATTGCTGCATAGTTTTTCCCTCTCCTGGCCCTGCCTTACGCTTTGTATGTGTGGTATATGGGTTCTGTTCTGTACACGGCATGAGCTTCCTGTGAAGGATTATTCTAGTAGTGAATGGAGGCAGAACAGATAGAAATCATTCTAGTCTCACCTGTGTTGGCACCTGCTTGTTTAGCTTTTACTAAGAGTAAATAGAGATTTTAGATAGAAACATCAGAAATATTATCAATCAATCATTATTTGTCCCATGCTTCAAATCATGCCCCCAGACAGGTCAATACATAATTTCTTTAATGATGAGAGATTTTGGATAGTAAGTGTTCTTTGTGCACATGCTATTTAGTTCAAGAGAGAAGGTTTATAAAGATAGTACCCAAAAAAGAATAAATGACTAAGTTCAAGGACTCTAGTAAAATAAACCATTAACCTAGATGGGGAATAATATTTATTTTTTTAAGAGAAAGAAAATAAGAAAGCATGGGAGGTGAAAGACAAAAAGAGAAAATGAAATATTTCTGATACTGCGGAACACTCAAAGCTGTTTCTTGAGCACAACTATGGGGAAAAGTAATGTGAAATCTGAACATTATAGAAATTACTCTTGGCTTAAAAGTGTCGTCACACCTAACCCCTCCACCACGGGGCAGAAGGTTAATAGGCTCGGGAAAGACTTTTTATAAAGTTGCAGCACTGCGGAGAATTTACAGTAGACTTGGGCTGGCCAACTTGATTGAGTTCAAAAACCTGACTTTGTACCCCATGTATCTGTCTCTCAGAAGCATATTTCCATGCCTGTAAGATGGATAAATAACGAAGGAAATTTATTAATTTACAACGAGAGATTACTGTTCCAGAAATCAGACATTCCCAGTATATATGACAGGTATATTCTTTACCTGTGGGTATATTATGTAGGAAAGAAAACATGGATAAGAAACTTCCCGGTGAGTCTTGAATATCAGTAAAGTAAATTACATGAACGAGATATTTAATGCACTCAGATCGGGACCGTTTAAATCTTGTCAATGAGACCAAAATACTCAAGTCCTGTGACTGGAACTTCCTTACTTTTACATGCGGAGAGCATGTCAATTGATATATATTTTTTTCTGTTTCCATGGTTTACTCTTCTTTCATACATATGTCACTGTGTGCCTTAAATCGGGTTATAGTCATATAGCCAAACTATTGCATGCTCTCAACTCCGCGTTGTACAGACAGGATTATTAAAAGGCAACCCATTATTTTTGAATCCCTCTTTCGGTTTTATAACATCTTCGGCAGGCACTATAGGTTTATAGCCATCTTCAAACAGAAATGCATTCAACTGTGCTCTGCACGGCTTAAAACGTATAAAACCCAGTGCAGCCCCATCTTTTATTTGCCATAGGGAGCTGGACCTTCCCCGGGGAGCTGAGAGTCGGGGGTGGCATGAACTACATGTCTTGGTGCCGTGTCGTTCTCTTTGGGCGGCCCCTGTCACCTGTGCTTTCTGTGGGACAGACATCTAAGTCCCTGTCCCCTGGAGATGCGGGTGGAGTGCAAGCCAGACAAGTGTTGGTTGCCAGCAGTCAGTCTCTCCCTCCCCTCTCATGTGTGTGTGTGTGTGTGTGTGTGTGTGTGTGTGTGTGTGTGTGTGTGTGTGTGTGTTGGTGCGTGTTTCACATCTTTACTTCCTGCCAAGAACTTTGAGGTCCTAGCTCCTTGCTGGGGTCCCAGCTTCAGATCTCCCTCTGAATCCATTGCTCCATTGCCTCCGGAGAGCACCCTCGAACCCCATCTTCTGTATCAGGATTGTGGGCAAAAGCTCTGGGTCGTTTGAGCAGCGGGGCTGTTTTCCACAGGACCCCAGTAACTGATGGAAAACAATCACATGGCTGTCCTTTAACTTCAGGTGTCCCAGCCACTTCACCTCTGGGTGTTTCAGAGCTTGTCGTCCTTTTCTGTGAAACGATGTGCGCATTTAACAAGACTTTTTCCAAGCGGCGTGTATAGTTCGTACATGTGCTTAGGAGACTTGGTTGTCTATGTAGATGACCCTGTTGCTGGAAATCTGAAGACATGTTTCAAAGCACACGGACATTTTTGAGTAGTGAAGAGATGCTTCTTTTTTGCTGTTATGTCATAGTTTGTGCTAATCATTCATCCTAAAGTTTAAGAGATTTTTGTAAACATAATTATACTCATTGACATTAAGACATTTGTTAGAAGATAGGTTTAGGCTTAATCTATGAAAAGACAGGTGCATGTGGTCATAAACATTTCAGCAACTACTCTCTTTTTACCCTCAGGTGGCTTTATTTACTTATTCTAATTTACATGAGTTTAGTTAATGTTCAGTTACTTTTCCTTATTTAATTCTCTGATTTATTGCATACTGTTCATGTACCTACTTCTGATTGCTGATATCACCACCTAGAAATAAACATCAGCTCTTGCTTGATTGTAGTGTCATTTAGCAAGAAAATTTTAGCACAAAAAATTTCCTGTAAGTAGATTCTGATTCTAAATGACATTAATTAATGTCCTATGAATTTCACCTGCTCCTTCTGCACCTGGTCCTAGGTTTAGGGTGCAACTGAGACATGGACAAATTATTATAATCTTCTATAAGTTTTAGCTGAAGCCTTCCTGATTATCCCAACAACTGAAAGGACACAAACTAATTTTCAAAATCTGGAGAATTGTGAACAAATAAGATATTAACGATGTAAACTATTCAAATATAGAGTGTGAGTCATTCTGCTGTATAATTTTGAGTAAAAAACATGTATTGCAGGTGTAGCAGGACTTTTTGATTGGGAGGATTACATGACACATTCGTCACCATATCATTTAACATTTTGTAAGCTTGTTCTAGACACCTCATTGGGCACAAATGAAGAGGAAATAATCTTGCAAAACAACTACTCATTTTTCAGCCTTCAAAATAAAAATGAAAAATTAATATTTTTAAATATCAAGTTCTTCTTAACCGAGCATAAGAACAATTCTCCCAAACAGCATAATCTATTTCTTTTGATCTGAGAAAGATTTAGCCAGTTAGAATCACACAGAGAAAGAAGTCTTTTCAATCTCAACAAAATTATTATATGTTATGCTTTATTTGGATCTGAGGGCATAGTGGAATTACTCCTTGTCTCTGAAAACAAAGGAGATAATTTTTATTTGAAAATAATAGCATTTTCTAAGTGGAACTTTCATTTGAATCTTTTACTTTTAAAATTCTGACGATTTTCACTTATTGAAGACTCTAGTAGCTGACTACAATTGAAAATAGCTATTCGGTTGAATGTTTTTTAGTCCTTTCATTGCATAGCGCCACTAAACTTTCAGTGTGGCTGTGCTGGATAAAGCAGTACATATGATTTAATCTATAGGTGGTAATTTTAACATCATGGTATTTAGTTTATAAGCACTGTAATTAAGATTATATGCATGCTTAATTATTACATATAACCCCAAACTTTTAATCTACATTTCCATTTTAATAAAAACTTGATTTTCATTAAATCTTAAGGTAAAACCAATTTCTATGGTAGAGAAAGCAATTTTCAGTTTTGTGAAGAAATAGCATTCAATAAACATTTTTTCCAAGATTGTTTGAAGTACAGGAGTTGGATTTATAAAATATGCGCCTGTGCCTGATAGGTCAGCAAACTAACTGTAAATAGAAGCCCAAATTGGAAGAGAGTGAAGATTAATAGATAAATACTGAGAAGCATTTTGGTGTAACTACGGAGGTGCTTCTTCCCAGAGCCTTCCTTCATCCTCAAAACTGTGCCCTAAACTCAGTGGCGTCCACAGTCCTCTTGGCATTGAGACTCTTCCTCACCTGAATGCTCCCAAACCGAAGCTTGCTGTGCTTCAGCCCCATGCCAGAGTGGAAGGGCCATGCATGCGTGCGGTTCCCCACCCACCCGCTGTTAGGGAGCCTGGGCTGCTGTGTTCTGGATTTCATGATGCTCCCCCATCCCTTCCAGGACGGCCCCCCAAATCCTTTAGTGCAGCAGGCTTCCATTTGGCCCACAA